TGGAAAATGAAGGGGAGATTGGCCCCAGGAAAGTATGCTACAGATTTTAGCAGTTGTAGCTGCAACATTTGAAATTAAAATAATACAATGATTTTTATATATCTGGTAGCTAAAAGCCAATCTATTGCAATCTTTATAGTATATAAAAAAACAGTTTTAAAAAACTCTGTTTTTTACGAAGAAATATATATATGTTTCAAATGTCACTAAAATTTCGCATATTAAGAATTTCTCAGCAGATGTGGGACAGTTCTGGTTTTCAACAGCCTTGGCATTTTGACAAAACAGATCACTCACATAGCTATACACTTATGGTAATGAACCGGACTGGCAGCTAGCCTGACTGGTCTTTAGTGCTAATTGCGATGGCCTGGTTTTCGTCAGTAACCTGAACTTGCTCTTTGCTCATTTAATGAAAAGGACCCTTCTGTGTCTTTATAACTGCTAAATATTGGGCTCTCTATAAGCTTAGCAACACTTTAATTTCGAAATGGATTTCTCTACAAAACTGATCGTCATCATCGTCGGAATCAGCATTGTCATCAACATTAGGGGTACGTATACCCTAAGTAAGCCAGTAACGCCTTGGCTGGCACTTTGCCCATGACTCAAACTTAGAATTTTTGCCCATAAAGTTGTGACTATCATTCGCGGAGTTTCCTCACTCCTAACTCTTCCTGCACCCCAGCGTAATTGCAATGAAAAATGTTACAATCGTGCTTAGGACATTCATATGTACAAAGAAGAATGTGGAGCCATTTTCTTATGCATGTATGAGGGTCCAGCTGTATTGCATACAACTGATTTCCTTGCCAGCTTCAATGCTAGTTTCAGTGGTGCCAGAAAAAAATGAATTCTAGCTTTCAGAAATTTTTCTGAACTGAATCGAAGAGGTCACTAACAGATTGAGCAAATGTGTGGAAACAAGGAAAATATTTCGAAAAAACTATATTGAGATATAATTTTATTGATAATTCAATGGTCGACGAAAAATATAGAGTATCAAGTATCAACGGATCGCGAAATACATGAAACTGGTTTGAAAAAAAATACCAAATTAACATCCCTGCTGAGTGTACTGGTGTGCAAGAGAACAATTTCTATCCATAATTTCATTCGCAGCGGGTGGACTGCAACCGTTTGAGGAGCAGTAGGAACTGGAATATGCAGATACAAGATACTTTGTGTCACAACAGCAGCAGCGACAGAGTACAGCAATACGCAGGAAGAAATGCCAGCAGTGTGTTCACTGGCAGCAGCAACAACCATTACCAGTCGTCTGTCGCGGGAATGTTGTCTAGGCACGCATAAAATTTATTATAATGACATCATAAATTCAGACCGCTGTGTGTGTGTATAAGTGAGTGACAAAAGTATCTTGCCCTCCATTCAAGCTGCAAAAATGGCAAATAATTTATTAAACAATAAAAAAGCTTATCGCAAATGTGGAGACTAGATGTTAGGGGAATATCAGCCAGAGGGCTCTACTCGAAGAAACAAAAAGGTTTAGCAATACCAAGTATTTCTTTAAAACTAATATTAATCAATATATTAGATATTATCAATATAGAATATTTTCTAGCCAACGCAACAATGACAGCAAAACGCAGTTACAGATGACTCTTTTTTTGGCTCAATCCTAACACCATCGCGACTTTTGGTTTGGTTATTGCTGCGTTCAAATTTATCCACCATTTCCTCCTTTTCCTCGTCCACACCAATCACACCCACTGGATTTCTGCCGCGCGCTTATGCGACTGCACACACACTGGGCTTAAAAATGTGTTCAGCATTAAACAAGAATTTTGTAACCTAGGGTGTTATAGTTCTCCGATATTTTGGGACATACAAAATGTGTATTATTTTGTTTTAACAGTGCTTTTGGTGAACAAGAATACTATGAGTGATTTAAGAACTTCACAGAGTATATTTTTGGTATAAAGAAGACATTATTTTCAGTGCAGTCGTGTCGCCCCATGGTGCTATTATTGCCGGTTCACAGTCAAGAGTTCTATGCTGCTTTGTCACCAGGCAACTGTGCAACATGCCACTGGCAACTTAAAAATAGGAGCTCGAAACTTCAAACTTGCAACTCGCTTGGCCGCCGGACAGAAGCCGCGTTGAAATGCCAAAAATATGCTCGAAACCATAGAAACTGGCAAAACTGCGGGAAAACCAAGGGTTTTATCTAATTAGTGAGTGCAAAAGGATAGAATTATGGTTGCACAGCATGGGATGCTGCGCATGAAGCCACCACATTGCATTAAAGCTTGGGTACCTACGATATAAACAGATCAAATAAGGTATTTAAAGACATAAATCAAATTATGTTTGAAAAAATTCGTCTAAAAATGCGATGGCACTCTGAAAATGCAATAAACAACAAATAAAGTGCCGAAAGGCAGCTTATTCCTATTGAAAATCACATTTATGGCCAACGCAAAGCTGCCTAAAGTGCAAAGGTTTTTTTTACATTTCTGCATAAAATAAGATAGTTTTTGTGGTTTAGCTTGAATTTTCTTTTATTTTTTGTATTATTTTTATACACGAGTATTTCTCTGTTTGCTTGCAAAATTGGAGCAAAGCTCTTAGCTCTGAGGGTAGTTTGATGGAGTCCAGGAGGGATTATGAGGGAGGGAAATAAAGGGCGGCTTTGAGTGTAATAAAGAACGAAAGAAAAACATTTCTGATTGTTAATGTCGCGATTAATATTTTGCTCTCTGGACTTCTTCCCCCAGACGCAAGCCCAGTCCCTTTTTCCCGACTTATTTTTCTTGTTTTCTGTCTGTTGGTTTCTCAGATATTTCGACTGGCGTTGGAGTTGGAACTTTTGAAAGACTTTGAAGCTTGAACCTCAAGATATTACACTTCTCGTCTTTTTGTATTGTTTTGTTGAATTTCTCTAAGCAAACGTTGTGGGAGTATCCAGACACCATTTTCATTCAAAAATGTTCAGTTATAAACATGCATTTTTAAAAAATACGGAGATACCTGACTCTTAAATGAATCCCGATAATGACAATTTTTTATCACATTCCCTACAAGTGCATGAGTATCTCTTGGATATGAACTGGAATTGACAGAAAAAATTACGTTTTCTTGAATCTCCTTGCCGCTGTAAAATTATCCCTTTAATTAACATTAGTCTTTATCGTCGGCTGTCATTTCGAAATGCACATGGCACTCTCGATGAAACGTTTTCCCACTTTTTTCTCACCTGCACTCTGGAACTGGGATGCCTCCTGACGCGGCTGCTGTCTAAGTTATGAGATCAGAAATTGCGAAGGACAACCGTGAGGATGCGGAAGGGAGGAGCATGGGCGGCGAAAAAGGAGTAGGAGGAGTGGGCTAGTTGCAGTCACCGGTCGTAAATGTGTGCCGTGTTGTAAAGAGGATGCACTTGCTCTCTCCCGCTCTCTGTCGGCTCTCCTTAACTAACTCTCTCTGTCTCTCCTCTTGCTCTGCCTTTTATTTCGGCTTCGATTTGTTTTAATTTCCGCTGAAGCTGCTTTTACTTCCGGGGCAGTGAAATTGCAAAAATGTAAATTGCGAATTGGTAAGTGGGTGTTTATGTTGTTTGAGGCAAATCGCTGATTCGGTGGTCATTGGCTTGGAGTTCGAAAAAGCTATACGCTCTTGCAGTCTCTGCTCGCTTCTTCTTTATCCATAATCCTTATCCTTTCGATGCCTATCGTTTCAAAGATTTAACTGCTTTTCCTGCTGCTGTTTTGCTGCGACATTTTTTGCGTAACTTGTGAGTTAGTTTCAGCATGTTTTTTGGGTTCCCGGAAAACTGCAACTTATCTTTTTTGCCGTTTAATTGATTTCTGAGCGAGTGTGAGTGTGTGTGTGTGCGAGCGCGTGAATGTGGGTGCGTGGCGAGCGGTTGTGTGTGGGTGTGCGGGGGAGCCAGCTGAGCCAGCGGAATGCGTCCGAGTGGCAGCGCGGCTTTCACAACTATGCGAATTTCCTGCGTACGAATTTCAGTATAATAAAATATCCTGTTCCGTTTCTGAAGAGGCTGAGCGGGAGAGCGCGAATTTTCCTGCGCAAGCGCCGCGAATTTGGAGCAACTCTTAGCTGAAAGCGATAACACCGATACGCACACAACACGAATATTGGTGCAATTGAGCACCCACCACCGCGATGGCGTTCCCACCCTCTCTCTTTTTCTACAACTCCCTGTCGCTTTTTTCACTTTGCTGCGGCGATTTTCCTTCGCTTTTTCCTGCTGTTTAATGGCACACTTTGTTGTTTTTTTTTGTAATCACCTTTTGGTCACCTAGTGCACGTGGAATTTTTGTGTTTTTGCACTGCAATTCTAGCTGCGTTCACTTGAATAGCTGCTAAATGTTCTCTAATCGGAGGACATGAAACACTCGCAGCGAGCGACAAGAGCGAAATGCAGCGTGCGAGAGCGAGATGCACGATAGTCAGCTTTTACCGATGCACGCCTCGGAGTGTGTGCGCAAAGCGCAAGCGCAGAAAATATCCCGTTAACAGTATATACTGGAATTTGTATTTTAATGTTTAAAAGATCAATAACGGGAGTTTAAATTAAATTTATGTTGTAATATTTAAAATGCATTAGATTATCTTTTTTTGACTCAGTTAATGAATTTATTGAGTTCGCACTGTCTAATGTAATAATAATATTTCTTATCAACAAAAAATTGACCAAAACAATTGTTTTGCTTGTTTGTCTCCCGAAAAAATAGAAACTGAATCTCTCTTATACATTATGAACTTAAACTTGGCAACACGGGTTTCCGATATTTGAAAAGCGCGCTGTTAGGATAGCGATAAGAATCGAATTATTATCGTCGTTTTCCTAACAGTAATGTTAAATAAATAATCGTTTCGCTGCATTAACTTAACATTTCGTTAGGATGATGAGTGGGCAGTGCTGCCGAAGAGGGAAAGCAGCGTAGAGATGGGAAAACATTGATGTTGTCCCGCCAAACATCGATATCTCCGATGTTTTAAGACATCAAAGTTTATCCATCTCTAGCGCGAGTGCTGGGAGAACATCGATGAAAACATCGAAAGTGCAATATTTTGATATTTGGGTCAACTTAAACTTTAGACACAATGTTTTTGCATAACACAAAACTGTACGGACTGGCTAGTAAGTAATTGGAACCATATTAATTGCACCAGGTAGCTGCAACATGTCCCAATCAATACCAACAGGAAACCTTGCGACCGGCGTGCGGCACCTGAGCGGCCAGAAACCGAAGACTGCCATATTAATGCTCAACATGGGTGGCCCCACGCATACGGACCAGGTGCACGACTATCTATTCCGCATCATGACGGATAGAGACATGATCCAGCTGCCGGTGCAGAGTCGCCTGGGTCCTTGGATCGCACAGCGCAGAACGCCCGAGGTGCAGAAAAAGTACAAGGAGATCGGCGGCGGATCACCCATCCTCAAGTGGACCGAGCTGCAGGGCCAGCTCATGTGCGAGCAGCTGGACAGGATCTCCCCGGAGACGGGGCCGCACAAGCACTACGTGGGCTTCCGCTACGTCAATCCGCTCACGGAGGACACGCTGGCTGAGATCGAAAAGTGAGTTGTTGAGCCGTCTTTAAATGATAAAAATCGGTAGATATTCCACGAAAATATAATGCATGTCGGGATAGCACAAGTTGGTAAATTAGTTTTTTTTGACATCAAAGTAAAAACAGTTTCTTTCAGAAGTAATGAAATTCTAATATGTTATACATTTCTAGCAAATGGTTTACTAATGTTATACTGATTTATTAACTACAGCGACAAACCAGAGCGCATTGTCCTTTTCTCGCAGTACCCACAGTACAGCTGCGCCACTTCCGGATCCAGCTTTAACTCCATCTTTACTCACTACCGGAGCAAGTGAGTAACAAGTTCATTTGAGAAAAATCTATTATTATTGACTGTACTCTAACTCTGTATATAGTAACCTGCCCTCGAACATCAAGTGGAGCATCATCGACCGGTGGGGCACCCATCCACTCCTGATCAAGACCTTTGCCCAGCGAATTCGCGATGAACTGGCCAAGTTTGTGGAGACAAAGCGCAACGATGTGGTAATCCTCTTCACCGCCCATTCCCTTCCACTGAAAGCTGTGAGCCGGGGCGACGCGTATCCTTCGGAAATCGGGGCCAGCGTGCACATGGTGATGCAGGAGCTGGGTCAGAGTAATCCCTACAGTCTGGCCTGGCAATCAAAAGTTGGCCCGCTGCCGTGGCTGGCACCAGCCACCGATGATGCCATCAAAGTAGGGCTGCATTTCCAAAATGTCCATTGAGTCAAGCTGTAAACCGAAATCATTCTTCACAGGGCTATGTTAAGCAAGGCCTGAAGAACTTCATTTTGGTGCCCATCGCCTTTGTTAACGAACACATCGAGACGCTGCACGAGCTGGATATCGAGTACTGCGACGAACTGGCCAAGGAGGTGGGCGTGGAGGAGATCCGACGGGCAGCCGCCCCCAACGACCACCCGCTGTTCATTGACGCCCTAAGTAACATTGTGGCGGATCACCTAAAGTCCGAGCAGTCAGTCAACCCCAAGTTTCTGATGCGTTGCCCCATGTGCTCCAACCAAAAGTGCCGGGAAAGTAAGAGCTGGTACCGTCAGCTGTGTTCAAACTGAGATCTGGATGTACTGCGTGACAGGCATTTCAAGTGCTTCAGCTGGGAGCCAACACTTATGCATTCATATGGGGTTATGGGGGATTGGTTTTCACACACACTGGCTTTGCTTTCCGCTGGCAATAAAGCATATATGTAAAATATACTGCACCACTATTAAATTAATGGTTGCAATTGCAGCTTAAGCTTAGCTTAAAAGGAAAAACATATAAACCCTCCTTAGAATAGAAACGGACTTTCTCCGTTTTTGCTAAATGTTGATAGTACAAATTACAAACATTTTATAAAAATATAATTTTCAGTACTTCGTGTCTTGATACAATAACTGACTCAGTTATTGTATCATGCTTCGTGTCAGGTCTGAAAAAATATGCTGCGCTAAACACAAGTAATAGTAATCAGTGAGATAAGAGTTACGCTCTATTCAAAAAAATTTTCTCTTAGTTTGGCTCTCTTCGTCGCACGTGCGAGAGGTTTTGGTATTTTTTCTATCGGTCAGAACAGCTGTTCGACTGTCAGTTTCATGCTCGCCTGAGATGTTTATTAAATGAAATTCAACTTTTGACTGCTCAAATGCCCAACCAAATTTGCGAAAGCTGGACGTGCTTCTCCGGCGCATCCGCCTCCTGGAAACTCCTGCATTTTGTGTCCTGCTGCACAGTCGACGGAAATTCACAGTACATTGCATAAGAAATCTCATTCGCCCAGCGTAACTGAGACTTCTAGGGCCACCAAGTTGGACCTTCGACTTTGTAATTATTTGCGGCTTTCACGGCAATTAACCTTCCAATCGCCGTCGACTTGCCACATTTCGCCAATTAAGCCATTGATTTTTAATAACAAATCAAAGCGAAATTAAACGCTTTTGCCTGCGCATCCCATCGTACAGGCACAGTGGCCTGGATCGAGAAATCTAATCGCCGCAGGGATCATAAATTAATTCGAAGAGTAGACTCCGAGTCCGAATATGAGCAAGTTCCACAAAAACCGAGGAGCTGGTGGCCCCACGACTCCGGCGGTGCCAGTCTACGGCGTGATCTCGACGTTGGACGACGCAGCTCAGAATACCGCGGGTTTCGCCAGGTAAGCGCTCGCAACTCATTATATACTAACTCTGCTGGCTCTGTTTACACTTTTTTCCAAGTGGAGACAAATAACCAGTTCGGAACTGGGCTTTAAAGCTGCCGGCGGGCCCTCTTTCCATCTCTTTCTCCATATTCGGCTGGCATTATGTTTTACGACAACATCGTGACGTATCAGCTTTAGCCCCAGTGCGTCATATCGATAATAATTATAGGAAACTACCCCAATCAAAAAATCAATTGAACTTAAATTTTTACTGGGTTTCAGACAGATTTAATGATAACATCAAGCCGAAAAAAAACTTGATTAAAGTCATTGATAGTTGAATTTTTAATTCTAAACTGAAGGTAATTTGTCCTATTCGGTGAGGTTAATTAAATTTCCAAACAAAAAGTGAAATATAAAATTTCCATAATAAAAAAAGGTTCTCCGAAATTAGTAGCAACTTAAAATAAAATGTTGACCTTTCTCTACTTAAAACTATTTTACCCCAGTATTCAACCAAGAGTAAAAAGTAATAAAAAAATATCTAATTAGAATCCCTTTTTCCATGATTGCAATTTATTCGTAAGTGTAAAGTTTTTGACATTTTATCTAAGATTTTGAGTTTGTATATACATATATATATATATATGTACTGGTGCATTTTAAATTCCATTAAGTTACAAGTTCTTGGCCTAAAGTAAAGTTATAAATGGTCCAATAAATCAAAAGCATAATATTGAATTTTTTGTCCGTATTCAATATGCAATATAAGTGGATGCCGTTTCCTATAGCGATTCTTATCGTCTTTAGCCAGATACGTGCAGACAACGGCACTCCGTTCGGCTGGTCACAAATTAATTGAATTAGCAGATTAGATGAGGATCGTATGTGACCACCGGCATACCACTCTATATCACTTGAAAAACAGATAAGCACAAAGATATATTTAGTCGATTCTCAGGTTTCGTCTTTATATATCTAATCTTTAATTTCTTGTATTTACTCAATTATTTGTCATTGAAACACAGCTGAGGAATAATTTATCCGAAAGTACTTGATTGGTGGATATGTTTAGAATTCAAGGCTAAACAAAAAGGTTGTTAAACATTCCCAGTACATTTTATAAAATTATTGACTACAAAGTTCCCAACTATCAATCTATATTTCCAATATACCCATTATATGTATTTTTTTAGCTCCGACATGAACCCAAAGTGTAACGTAAAACCACAGAACCAATTTAATCGTGTTCGCTGAGTTATCTGTCCAAAAGACAAACATAATGAACTGTAAATACCAAATGCTTGATAGTGACTTTTTAAGGCTTATCTGAATCATTGAGCAAAATTAACACTGAAAACGCGTCTGACTTTAGGCAGCCCCATAAACCTAGGCAAATAGTAGTCTACAATGCCTCAGGCTTAAAATAGTTTTTTTTTAGTTCGCGCCATATAATGAAATATAGATCGTAGGTTTTTATACCCTTTCAGAGGGTATTATAATTTCAGTCAGAAGTTTGCAACGCAGTGAAGGATACGTTTCCGACCCTATAAAGTATATATATTCTTGATCGGCATCACTAGTAGAGTCGATCTAACTATTTCCGTCTATCCGTCCGTCTGTCAGTCTGTCCATCTGTCCGTCTGTCCGTCCGTTTCTACGCAAACTAGTCTCTCAGTTTTAAAGCTATCTGCATGAAACTTTCCCAAAAGTTGTCTTTCTATTGCAGGTAGTATATAAGTCGGAACGAGCCGGATCGGACGACTATAGCATATAGCTCCCATAGGAACAATCGTATAGCTGCCATAGGAACTATCAAATAATTAAGCTGCAAATCATCATAGCTTCAATGTTTTTAAACATACACGCAAGTAAATCATAATTTAAACGTTTTAAAGAGTAGCTGCAAGGGTATAAAAACTTCGGCTTACCGAAGTTTGCTTCCTTTCTTGTTTTTAATAGAACTTGAAAATACATTTTTCCTGGAAAACTTTTAAAATAATCTAATCAACATATAAAGGGTAACAGTTTTTTTTTTAATGAATATAAATTGAGCAGACTAGAACCTGTTTTAAAATATTTATTTATATTATTTAGAGTATCTAATCTTTTCTATGCACCCACAGATTCCCTTCGCTTGAGGCCAAAAAAAGTGAGTTGAGATTGTTCCTAAACTGGGGAAACCCCAAAAAGAATATGGAGATGGGTTCGGAGAAGCTGCGCAATCGCAGCTGGATCGTCGACGTCCTAGCCATTTTCTTTGGTATCGGCACGTGGCTAGGGGTAAATGGCACCTTCATCCAACTGCCATTGCTGGTGGACGAGGCCCCGGAGGGCTGGAGTCTGCCCTCCTACCTCAGCGTGATGGTGCAGATTGGCAATCTGGGCCCCCTGTTGTATACGGCCATTCAGAAGTATTCCCCCAAGAAGCTGAACGACGGATGGACCATCCACGGAGTGCTACTGGTGGGTGCCATCTCCTGCTTGCTGACGGCTTTCTTCTACAACCGAACGGCTCCAGTGGCCGGCACGGATCATAGTTTGGCCCTTTTTGTGTTAACCTGCTTCACTGCGCTGAATGCCTGCACCAGCTCAGTGCTCTTTATGCCCTATATGGGGCGCTTTAAGGAGCAGTACATGGTCACTTACTTCATTGGCGAGGGACTGAGTGGTCTGCTGCCCAGCGTGACGGCTTTGATCCAGGGCATCGGCGAAAGCGGCGACTGTGTCCTGGTCAATGTGACGGAAACAGGACAGGAGATCTACGAACTGCAGAAGACACCACCTCGATTCGACACCCGCGTCTTCTACCTCATCCTCTTCGCCCTGATGGTTTTCGCCTATGTGGGCTATACGCTCCTGAACTCCCTGCCCGTGGCCAGGAGGGAATACGCCCAGGTTACTGTCAGCGAGGGAAACAAGTACGTGTACGGAGAGGCCGATAACCACGGACTAAATACGGAAAAACTCAGCAAGGGCCAGTACACCTATTTGCTGCTGCTGATTGGAGTCATCTCCCTGTTCAGCAACGGAATGTTCGGCAGCATTCAGTCCTACTCCAGTGCCCCCTATGGATCGCAGGCATATCACTTGTCTGCCACGCTCAGTGTGATTGCCAATCCGATGGCCTGCTTTTTGGCCATGTTTCTGCATTTCACATCCCTGCGCATCATTACCGTGCTCTCCATTCTGGCGGGTCTCCTGACCAGCTACGTTTTCACCACGGCTGCCCTGAGCCCTCTGCCGCCACTTCACGACAAGACCATGGGAGCCGTGCTGGTGGTGACTGCTTGGACCTTGCTGGTGGGGATCGTGAGCTACACCAAGCTGGGAATCACCACCGTGATGCGAGCACAGGGTGGCCAGTCGCTGGTCTGGGTGGGGGCCATCACGCAGCTGGGTTCTGCCATCGGAGCGGTAGCGATCTTCTTCGCCATTAACTACTCGGATCTTTTCCAGGCCGCAGAGACGGGCTGCTGACAAAGTCAGCATATCCAGGGATGCATCGTGATTTTATAGATGATTTTACTATAGTTTAGTGTGATATTTTCAAATTTGTATTTCCCCCTTAATGGCCACAATGAAGATAGTACCTTGTTACCTGAACAGCGTTTTTAATATTTTAATCATCCGAAGGCAATACCCTAAATGAGTTCGAAATTTTTAGGACCGAAGTGCACAAAATAAAGAAGCCTTTACCTATGTACAATTGTAAGACCTCAAATACAAACCACTATCAAAATGAAAACTATTTAATTAAAATCTCAAGAGGTAAACAATGTTAGGTAATGCATTTCAAACTAGTAATTTAAGGTTCATCTAATTTATCATCCTTTTATTAAACGTATTACACTGGTTTATTGTGTTTGAAATTCATTACTTCTATAACCCAATATTTTTATACGAAAATAAATTAAGGTTTATAATTATGAAGGTTTAGTATTTGGCTTTAATTTACACCATTCTTATACCAAATTATCATTTATGGGTTTATCAGGGACGTTTTTTCTTAATCGTCCTTTAAATCCATAAAATGTAGAATAATTGGAATCTTATGGTAGCTATTCAAATTCATACTCTCAAAGGATTAAAACTTTGATCCCCAATTTTGATCTTTTACGGAACAGTCATTTCAAAATCATTGCTTGATTTATCCGCCTGCTCCACCTCGCTGTCGATGTCGCCCTCGTATCCCGAATTGGTTTTAGAGGCGGAGGGAATGGGTTTGTGTCCTCCAGATTCGGGGGACTCGGCCAAACTGCAGCAGCTGCAGAAACAATCGGTGAAGTGGCGGCCGGTGTTGTCCAACTTTTCGGGAGTTCCCTCCAAGACCTTGTTGAAGGCCTCAATTTTCTCGCGGAGACTGCGACTGGCACTAGGACACCCGGTTAACTGGCTGACTTGCGGGAAAGGCCGAGGAGAATCGCTGCTTTTGTTCTCCAGAAAGTCGAGCGCCTTCTCCAGCGATTCCCGGGCACGCTTGAATTTTACTTGGGTCTCCCCCAAAACTGCACTCTCATTGAGGTGCTCGAATTCCACTAATAGACCATGAATCTCGGTCAGATTTGAGTACAAACTTATACCCTCCACAGAATGAATCTGCGAAGCGTTCGCCGAGTTGATGGCCTCGAAACCAACGATCAAGCGCCGGATTTTGGTGGGCTGGCCTTGGTGGCCACTCCCACTTAACTGCATCATGTTAACCACGTCGCCCACCTCCTTGAGCAGCTGCATCGTCGACTGGACGACCTCCTGGTGCTTCTGGATGCCCTGACGCAATCGATCACGAAGGCTTTGAAGGCTGTACCGACGGACCTGCTCCTTTTCATCCACATTCTCCAAAAAGACTGCTAGGTATTGGGTTAAAATTACCAAATAAGAATTTTAAAAAATGTAACAGCCTTGACCATTTAAAATTGTTATCCAGCAAAAAATTTGAGATTGTAGAAAAATGGATTTCTATAGACCAGCTTACCAGATATCGCACTCTCCATTCCTGATTTGTTATTATCGCTGTCCATTGCGATTTTCTTAAGTAAAATAGAAAAGCTTAAAAACCAACACTTTTAATTTACGAAAATCTGATGACAAAATATTAATTTCTGATGATTAAATAAAATTTTGATATATAAAACTCTGAGGTATAACGATTCTAGAATGGAAGGAAACTTCGGCCATTGATAGCAAAAATAAATATTCTTTAAAACGACTAAATTTCAATTTTTAATGCTTAAAAACATAAACGGTTATTTGATTTTTAGCTGAATTATTCGGTCGTTCCCTGTGGCAACTCTATAATAAATTAGAAACCATTACTTTACCCAAAGAATCAACAAATAGAGAACCTATATTTTTTTCCATTTATATTGTTTAATATTCCGATTGTTCCATGAAATATTAAACGGTTACTATATTATATTATATATATTATTATTATATATATATACATACATAAATAGAAGAAGTAAGCCCACAAAGTGAAGTACAACATTTTTTCAGTTGTATTAGCATTATTATAAACTTAGGGTTCTTAATTTTCCTCATTTGGTGGCACAAATTTACTAAGAAAAGTACACGAAATGTGATTAATAAAGTAATACAAGACAAGAATCAAACCCCGTGACTATGGAACACATCCAACAATAACATCAAAAAAGAAACCAAGTGGTAAAAATTGTAAGTACCCAATAATTTTGTAAACCAGACCATCTATCTAGATTACTAAAAATTGTAGTCTAAACAACATAAAATAGAATGGTACATAAGCCCCTGGAGAAGCGTAGATTTCGCACACATTGGTCCCACTGTAACTGGCTGAACGAACAGCTGTTCGGTGGTTTCTCGGTTTGTATACTTTCTGTTTTAGTTTTGATTAGGGAGCGATGCGGTGATTAAAACTCGTTCTCTAAAAAACACACTTTTGTGTTCACATTTCTGGCTGTAATTTACCAACTGCAACTGTATTTTTTAATGTGCTTCTTTGGCCCCCAAAAAGTACGCAATTGAATGTTCTTGTGATGTGAAAAATGTGTACTGCTGCGGGACTCGACTAAAAAAAGACTAAAGACTAAAAGCACCACCGGAGTGTGGGATATGCGTTCACTGCTGGCCCACTGGAGACCACAACTGAATCCGAATCCGAGATCCAGCCGCTGTAACTTTATCCTCTCGACTTCTTTGTGAACTATACCACTAAGCAGAGCCCTAAAAATGAGCCTGTGTCGTAATCTGCGCTTCCTGGAGACCCGTAATCTGGACCTGGCGCTCGGTCAGCGGGAAAACCAGCTGGTAAATGGCAACATCTCCTCGTCCATTTTTCGTGAGCGCCTCAGTGCGGCGGAGAATCTCTACCAGCGCAATCTCACTGGTCACTACGGTTGTGTAAATGCTCTGGAGTTTAATCAGAGCGGTCAGCTCCTGGCCTCAGGTGAGCGGAACTACCTGTTGATAGGTTCCAAAGTCTGCAGCTAAGCTCTGCCAATCCATAAATTCCGCAGGAGGTGACGACAAGAGGGTTTTGCTGTGGAACATTGACCGCGAGGTGGTGTCCCTATTGGGAAAACCCCGGTCCATGAACGAAACCCATGCCAGCAATATCTTCTGTCTGGGATTCGACACCCAGAACTGCTCTATCTTCTCCGGGGGAAATGATGACTTGGTTATCCAGCACGATCTGGAAACGTGAGTTTTATTTTCAACTGTTTTGTGTGGTCAGAATTTGTAATAACAAGTTGTATACCCTTGCAGAGGGTATTATACAATTTGTCAGACGTTTGAAAATAAATAAATTAATTATAGAATATTTTAATTTTTTAAAAGCTGTAAGTCTTGCCGAATTTTGTTTTCTTTCTTGTTTAAATTATATTAATTTAAAAAAAAGATAAGATAAACTCAAGATACTTATTTATTCTAAAAACAAAAATATAATTTAACACTTTCTAAACTTTTAAAATATTTGAACAATATAAAGCTCCTAAAAATCGTACCAAGGCAAATACTTTCTGCTCTCGTTTCAAAGTGGAAAAATCCTCAATTACTTTTCGCACGATGGACCTGTGTATGGCTTAAGTGTGGACAGGACCAGTGGACATCTGTTGAGCGTGGCCACTGAGCATGGCGAAGTCCTAGTCTACGACCTGAGGGGAGGAAAGTCCGAACCTTTGGCTCTGGCAAAATTTAAGACGCCATTCAATGCCGTGGAGTTTCATCCACTAAATGGCAACTTCCTGGCCACAGCCAACGCCAAAAGGGGCGCCATGCTCTGGGATCTGCGGCACCACCAGGAGTGAGTTCTCTTAAGAAATAAGAAATTGCAAGGCGCGTTAACTGTTAACCATTTATCCTAAAGGGCCCTCTGCCAGTACAACTACATACCGGAGTCACCAAGCTGCATGAGCGTGCGCTTTAATTGCAATGGCAGCCTGCTGCTCACTCTCCACCGCCGACTTCCACCGATCCTCTACAACCCCGGGTCGTCGGAGCCTGTGGCCACCTTCTACCACGACGAGTACTTCAACTCGTGCACCATGAAGAGCTGTACGTTTGCAGGACCGCAGGACGAACTGGTGGTCTCCGGTTCGGACAATTTCAACATGTTCATCTGGCGGCTCGATGGAGTGGACTGTTAGTTATCTGATGGGATTTGGTTACATATTCCCCAACTAACGTTTTTCACTTATCAGTGGAGGAGAAGAACCAGTGGATGGAGACACCACCAGTCATCCTCACAGGTCACCGTTCCATAGTTAACCAAGTGCGCTACAACCGCCAGCGCTGTTTGCTCGCTTCCTCCGGCGTGGAAAAAATTATTAAAGTACGTTGGGAAACCAACAGCAGCGGTCAAAATAATAGTAGTGTCTAGTACCCCAAAGTAATAGTATTTTAATTTCAAAAGCAACTTAACACTTTTTTTTGTTTACTATTTCCAAGTTCCAAGTTAAAAAACTACTTTTATTTTGACCGCCACAGTCAGAGCATACACTTATCCATATCATCATAATCTTCAGCTGTGGAGCCCCTTTGCCCAGCAGGGCTGGGAAGGATCTCTCACCCAAGCCGAAGCCCTGCCCTACTGCACTCGGCCGCTGCATCGCGAGTCCTCGGAACATGTGTCGCAATACTTCAGTGCCCGCAACACGGACGAGGACCAGGTGATGCTGGCCTTCTTCGACACGCTGGTGCAACGCGAGCTCGAGTCCTGGAGCACCGTGGACAACCTGAGCAGCTCCAGCAGCAGCTCGGACACGTCCAGCAGCGAGGTCAGATCGGAGGTCACGGAGGATCCAAGCGACGAGGATGGCGAACAAGATCTTGACCCTGATCCTGATCCCCAGGATGATCAGCAGACCCATGATGGGGACAATGAGCAGGACATTGACACGCCCAACGTCAGCGAACTGAGCTGGCAAACCCATCCAAATCGCATATTCTACCTGATCGCCAAGAAGCGGCGTGCTCTGCTCCAGCTGGCGGTGCAGGGCACCACGGGACAGCCGCGCAACGTGGACCAGCTGCTCCAGCGGCTCCTCGGCGAGCAGAAGCAGGTGGCCACGCAGGCGCGGATCAGCGACTGGCTGGAGGAGACGCACCGCCTATTCGGGGACGACGAGCAGCCCACCACGTCGGCGGAAGCAGCGGCCCGGGAACAGCGACGCCGTGCCTGCGATAGGCATAGCCGGAGTCCTCGGCGGGCACAGGATTCGAAAGAAGGTAGGTTCGGTCAAAATAATAGTATTTTTTTAGCTTATGGAAATAGCAATCAAAAATAGCTATTGAAACATTATATGAAAATTGTTATCTTTTCGTGGGCTAAAATTTGAATGGGGCAAATTGGAAAATTCACATTAACCTATGGTCGTAAATTATTTTCAAAAATTTTTAAAAAAGATTGAAAACAACAATTGCTTTTTTTAAGTTTGCGATTTAAAAAAAAAAGATCATTTGTTAAAAAAATGTTCCTTCCAATACGTTGTCCAGATGAACGAGGATTTATGGTTATTTTCATATATTTTTAAGAAAATCATTGACTGCAGTATATTGAATTTAATGGAATAATTTTTTTTTCCGAAAACCTAAGCAATATTAAACTTTTTAAAAGTTGTCTTTGAGCATTTAACATTCTTCCATTAATATTATTTTGATCGCTGTATGTATAGCGTTTATTATTTTTATACCCTTGCAGAGGGTATTATAATTTCAGTCAGAAGTTTGCAACGCAGTGAAGGAGACATCTCCGACCCTATAAAGTATATATATTCTTGATCAGCATCACTAGGCGAGTCGATCTAGCCATGTCCGTCTGTCCGTCCGTCTGTCCGTCTGTCCGTCTGTCCGTCTGTCCGTCCGTTTATATGCAAACTAGTCTCTCAGTTTTAAAGCTATCTGCATGAAACTTTCCCAAAAGCTGTCTTTCTATTGCAGGTAGTATATAAGTCGGAACGAGCCGGATCGGACGACTATAGCATATAGCTCCCATAGGAACAATCGGAAAAATAAATGAAAAAAAATTATAACTTTGCTGTTTTTTAATTTTTTGTTTAGTTCTTCGACATTTAGTAATGTTTAAATATTTCCGATTTACGGTTTAAATTTCATCAAAATCGGACGACTATAGCATATAGCTCCCATAGGAACAATCGGAAAAATAAATGAAAAAAAATTATAACTTTGCTGTTTTTTAATTTTTCGTTTAGTTCTTCGACATTTAGTAATGGTTAAATATTTTCGATTTACGGTTTAAATTTCATCAAAGTCGGACGACTATATCATATAGGTCCCATAGGAACAATCGGAGAAATAAATGAAAAAAAATTATAACTTTTCTGTTTTTTAATTTTTTGTTTAGTTCTTCGACATATGGCAATGTTTAATTATTTCAGAATTATGGTTTAAATTTTATCAAAATCGGACGTCTATATCATATAGCTCCCATAGAACTAATAAAAATATATAAAATAACTATCTAATAATTGAGCTGCAAATCATCATAGCTTCACTGTTTTTCAGTATATACTCACGTAAATCATAATTTAAATGTTTTCAAAAGTATTTAATTCATGCAATAGCTGCAAGGGTATATGAACTTCGGCTTGCCGAAGTTTGCTTTCTTTCTTGTTAAAACTGATTTGATCCAATCGAATGGCTAAAGAATGTTCGCTTGCGTCTTAAGAAGACCTCGGCCATACAAACAACAGCCGATAATAGACATCCGATGGTGAGGGCGTAGAAGGCCAGTTGGACGTCGGAAATGGTGAGCACTTTCCACCGGCCGACGTCCAATTGGGCCAAGTACTCGGGAAACCGCTGGATGCTCCACTTGGCACGCTCCTTGGCCTCGCCCGTCCACAAGCCCACGATTCCGCCGGCTACCAGGCGGAGTACGATCCGGTTTACCTCCTCCAAATGCGGCGAGGGGCGTGGCAGGACATAGGCGATGTGATAGTTCTTGGGGCACTCAGGTATCTTGTGCACTTTCTTGGTCATAACGTATCGAATGTCGCTCAGCTGCAAGCTAGCAGAGCGGGTGACGCCCGCAAATCCTCCTCTCTTGGAAACCATCTCAATGAGGCGTTCCTCGCCCTCGGCCACCAGCGTCATCTTGGCATCCAACCGACGATAGACCTCCGAATCGTGACCATAGAAGAGGTCGTCCTTGAAGGCGGGATGCTTGATGTAAATGGGATGGCCGGACTCATCCAGTTCCCTCAAGGTATTGGTATCGCGATAGTAAAGAGGTCGAATGTAAACTGTGGCCAGACTGGACTCCAGCAGGGCTCCGAAAATCACGCTCACCAGGCAAAGGGAAGCCACGAAAATGCGTTCCGAGTGGAAAGGGGGAAAGCGGCCCACATTCACTCGCACCCAAACGACCCAAGTGTCGATGAAAATGCGACCAGCTGCTCCAAAACTACTAGTCGCTGTAGTTTGTGAACCATCTGGTATGCCTTCGATGCGCAGGCCCAGATTTAGAGCCCTCAAAAGGAGCCAGACAAGGGAACCCACGAGACCCACCAACAGGAAGCACAGCCAAACATCTGTATGAACGGCAAAGAGGGGAAGGATGGACTGCGGAATCCTTTGAGCCTTTTGCACATACAGACAAAGTTCGTCCATGTACACGGCTGCGCTGAACTGGATGTGGGTGGTCAGGTAGTCCTTGACAAAAAATCCCGCGAAGATTATGTCCACTTCGCCGCGGTGGGCGCGACCCACGCCGCCACTATACGATCCATCCGGCAGGCGGCCTCCGAAGAACTCATCATCGGGCCAGAGATAATGGGGCGTAAAGTTTAATTGCCTGGCCACTGTTTTGGCCAACTTGGCATCCGCTCCATCTACACTCAGCACCTTGTTGCTTGCGCCATCCCCACTCACACTGGAGTACACCGAATCGAAGATGTAGATTCTCAAGGGATAGCCCTGAAGATTTTTGTAGATTCGTCCATAGGCTTTGGGATTTTTAACCAAGACTACGCTTTGCCTGAAGGGATTGTAGAGGAGTATGCGTTCTAAACTCAACTGAACATAGTAAATCCGACTGTGTCCATGCTGGAGCCAAACTTTGGCCATGAAGTCTATTAAAATTGCATCATTCTCGGGCTCATATTTCTCCAAAGCCAGTATGTAAAAGCCATCTGTATTGACTAAACTAATAAGGATGTCATGCATTAGCTGCACGTCCTCGAACAAATAGAAATTATGCCGAATATTTGATGCTTCCGAAGGTGCTTTCTCCTGACTCAGTCTAATTTTCAGAGAAGTCTTTCTGTGCTTCATCACAAACTGGACCAGTTCGTTGTCTCCATTGGCAGGATTCCTCAGATGGAGTTCAAGGCCACCCTCAAGCGTATCCAAAATTGAGGCCAGCACCAGCTTGTATTCCGTGTTATTGGTTTGACCAATGGTTACTCCCACTAAAGCCAGCGTAATTAGATGCAGAGTCGTCGCCATATCAGGAGTTACTGAACCTTTGACTGAGATTGTGGAGCTATCAATAGGACAGGTTCAGGACACGGGGGTTGGACGACTGACATCCTGTTGGCAAAGTGTTTGTTTAGTGTCAGAACCACTGACACCTCGGGGCAGACCCACAATTATTGGCAAGTGTCTGGGGTCTGTTGACAATACTTGACTTGTCCCCATGACTTTCCCATTTATGCTTGAGCAAGGGTGTTCCCTTGCAGCAAAGCTAATATGATACATTTATGCCCGTTACTCGTAGAGTAAATCACGAAACTCTGTAATATTAGTCTAAGACGTGGTATAGACCTTTTATTGGGAGTTATATGTATACTGGGTCACTATCTATCAACCTACCAAAAATCAAACCAATACTTTGCATTTAATTGACAATTAAGATATGTTTAGTTTTAAATCTAATCTTATTATCGCTTTTTCAGATGAAACTTTGCAGTCCAGCATCGACCGAAGGGAACGCAAGCGAAAGTCAAAACGCCAGCAATTTTCGGTCACCAAGCACAGAAGAACGGCTCGCCAACTTCGTCCCACAGAAGTGGACAACCACAGTACCGCTTCAAATGATACCGACATTCTGGAGGAGCACAATGACACCAACGAGGACGAGCCGTCGTCGGGGGACAATCACAACCATAATGCCAATGAAAAGGAAGGCGTTCAATCGGATGAGCTAGAGGAAGACAGCTCCTTCACCTCATCAATGACCTCCATGGAGGCGCAATTGTCTCGGCCTCCCAGCACCTCCAGTTCTATTATTTTTCTACCCGAACTGGAAGCCAACAATAACAGCCAGCTGACGTCCAACCACAATTTTATGAAAGAAAATGTCAATGGTCTAATTCCGGATATTTGTAATACAGAGTCAACAGCATCCACGTCATCATCCACATAAGTTGTACTCATATCGCAATTGGGATTCCCAACTATTTAAAACATAGGCTTAAATATGGTTTTACTTTTAATTTGGATCTCCGCTAAAACACAAATGTTCGCTTATGGCATAATTTTTAAGAAATTTAAATTACTAAACCAAACGGGAAATAAATCAGGTTTAAAGGAAGCAAAAAAAATTTTAGCAACTGAAAAATCAGTCGAAACTTTAATTTTTCGACTGCAATTCGCAAACAATATTTTCATACTTGCTCAGAATTGTACATTCATTCCCTGAATGTTTTATCCCTACAAAATAGAGGGATCTAACTTAAGCGTTTCAAGGTTTACCTTAAACTGAAAACCATTGAACAAATTTGTTTTTACGATTTTTCCTCTGAATAAACCTCCCATATTTATTTAATTTTGTTGATTGTATTCTTTCACTTCATTTATTGATTGTGGAATTTTCATAATGTCTACAATAATTTAAAAAATACATAATGTCTCATAAACCAACAGGTAAGAATTTTCGTGCTTGTGCGTTGAACTTTGAACTGATATGCACGTAAATGCAAAGACTAAACATAGAGAACGAACATCTTTAAGCGTACTTACGACTGAATGGTTGTAGCTTAAGTCTAGATTGGTTTCAACTACGGCTAAGAGTAGGCTAACTAATTTACACGATAGTTGGCGGAGATCAGCGTTCGCTTCAGCATGCTCCGATTTCTCCGTTCATGTCGCTTGGCCTGAATGGCAGCTGCATGTCCTTGCAGCGTTCGATCACGAAACGCTCTAGTTGGCAGCCAGCGCTGGAATTCAATATAATCTATAATCTATCTATAATCTATAATTCAAAATGATCTACCCACTCGTATATTTCGTTGCCCTCAACGTTGTACAGATCGCAGTTCCTGAACACCAACTGGATGTCGCTCAGCAGCTCCTCGTTCAGCTGATAGGCGCCCATGTTCAGCTTGGACTTAATCTTAGCCAGATCCATGGGCGTCTTGATGATCTGATGGTAGTCGGGCACCTCCGACGTTAGCACAGGTCGTAAAAACGGCCAAGATGCCTTGTGCTTCATGATCTGCTCAAGCAGATCATACAAGGCTGAGCTGTTCAACGGCAGGTTCTCGTTCGTCCTGCGACCACTCCTCCGATGATTGTTGTTATTAGTGCTGCTATTGTTGTTATTATTGTTATTGCCGTTGCTCTGTCGGGCAGACTTATCGATGGATAGGCGTACCGAGTTGCGAGAGGAGCGGGAGCGCTTGGCCTGCGGTTCATCGTCATCGTTTTCATCGTCGCCATTCACTAATAAAAAACGGTAAAGGTAAGTTGGGAAAAGTTAATGGGTATACTACTTGTCTGCTCACTGTTACTGTGTCGACGCCTGGGTCGCTGTGGATCGGGTCTGCACGCCTTGCACACGAACTCCGTGCGCGGCGGGCGCTTGAGATTGACGCACTCCAGGTGGTAGGTTGAGAGGCAGACCACGCACTTAATATCGCTGCCTTCGTAGAAACACTTGTTGCAGACCTTCTCATCATGGCTGTGGAAAGATGCACTCTTTAATTCCTTGTCTATGCACTTAAGGACAGCTTTAACTTACGACTTCTCTTCGACCGCATCTTCATCGGCTGTAAGGGAAGCTTCATCGCTAGTTTCCATACTTTCGGATTCATCCTCGACGGCCTCCTTTATTTCTTTGGATCTGAGCCGCTTGCCCGCTGGTCGTGTGCGGGATTGTCTGGAAGGTCGCCCGTTGACCTTCACAGAGGAGCGAGTGGAGGCCATGCTGATGTCATCCGCCTGTGCTTCGTACTCCTTATCTTCATCCGACTTATCGTCCTCCTCATCTTCTTCCACTTCCTCCCCCTCCTCCTGCTCCTCATCCACTTCCTCCTCTTCCTCTTCTGTGGGCTCATCCTCCTCTTCTTCTACAATAAACTTGCGCTTTTTCTTCGCTGCCTGCTTCTTATCTTTGTCGTTTTGAGCACTATTCAGACCCAGACTCTTAACGCAATCATTGCAATACCAGTTGCCCTGTGGCACCGACCTCAGCTTGGGCTTTAGGCAGAACATGTGGGTTCCGGCGTTGCACTCGTCGCACAGCAGCATTTTCTCCGGGTCGCTGCCTCGCCGACAGACCTTGCACAAGGACTTGTTGGTTGAGCGCCTCCACTGGACGCAGTCGTGCAGGATGTTTAGGTGCAGGAACACCTGCGCAAAGCTAGTGCTCTCCATTAGCGACACTTCCCACTGCTGCAGACGCGCGTCGCAGGCTTGTCTTAGAGCCTCCTGTTTGGGGTCCCACTTCTTCATGCCGTAGGGTTCCTTGAGGAATCGCTTGCCAATGGCCTGCTCTACCTGGAGAAGAGACGAGGCCATATTGTGCACGGCGATTGGAATGGAGACAGCGTTGGCTGCAGGTTGAGTCTCCTCATCGTCGCTGTCTGGTGTCAGAGCCGACGACGGGTCTGTGTCCAACGAAGGTGCCAAATATAAACCGGGATCACGGTACGGCTTTTTGGCATATTTGCCCCACAGAGCGCCCTCATCCTCCTCGTGAGTGTCATGGGATTCGTTGTCAGAACCGTTCGATACCTCGTCTTCAAGTTTGCCACCTGGACCCCATTGCAACTTGCCCTGCGCATCGTATCTGCCTGCGAGCAGATCATTTCGCCACTTTTCCATGTCCTTGACCTTAAGACGGCCGAGATCGCCCGTGAAAATATCCCTTTCGAATTGTATGATGCGGTCCACCAAATGCAGGCGCATTACTTCGTTCAAATCGGTTCCGTTTGGCAGTCCAAAGTTGGCATCACCGTACTTGCGGTGAGTTTCTGATTCCATCGTTGCAAGAAACTTTTTGCGCTGTGGTTCGTTCTCCAGGGTGAGCACGTCGACCGGGCAGGTCTTTACATGCTGCTCGATGAGGGATCTCAGAACGGAAAGTTCTTGAAGTAGCTCGAATTCTCGAAGACCATTGGGATTCAGTGCCCTAATCAGCTCCTCGATCTCCTCCGCTTTGTAGATGTAGGACCAACGCTGCCGTTGCCCGTTTCTGGGATCGTGCACAATACAATTTCGCTTGTCACCGCTGCACATCATCAACTCGAACTGAGTGGGGGCCTCCGGAGGATCGGGCTCCACCTCTATGGGCTCGGCACTGCCGTTTAGACGATGCTCCTGGTTCTCCTTGTTCTCCAGCGATTGCTTGGCCCTCCTCCTGGTCTTCTTGTCATCGTCTCCATAGAGTTTGAGAAGATATACCCTCAAGTCCTTGCGACTCCTGGGCAACGAGGCTTGTTGACGAATCTCAAGTTGCGACTTGTTCTCAGGCGGCTGCGCCAAACAAGTGTCCAGGCTGTCCGGCGAGTGCTCAACAAAGATTCCCGGCATGGACTCCAAGACGTAGTACTTTCTATAGCATCTATCCATGCCGAGGTATACCAAGAAATTGAACAGTTGTGAGTGCAGCTTAAGCATCTGCTGCTCGTGCTTGCGATGTTGGTGATCCGATTGGGCGTGCAGCTCTGCAATGCTCTTGTTTAACTTTTCCACCAACGCCTCCCTTTTTTCTGGCTCAGCCGCACTGACCTCGAGGTGGTGCGTGTGGGTGAGCTTTTTTCTGTTGATCTCCACGGCGGCCAGTCGTTTATTCTCCCCGATAACTAGTGCTCGCAGTTCCTGCTTGGCCTTCGCTGTCTGCTCCATGCGCTCCTCGATCACATTAATGGTGCCCGAGTAGGTGAGAATTTGCGACATCAGGCAGCGGACCAATTGCATTATATCCCTGAACTTTAGCTGATACACGGAATGGTTTTTCAGAGCGCGCAGAATGTGTGGGTGTTGTAGGCGCAGCTCCAAGCCGGGATCCTCTTTCGAGGAGTAGCCGTTCCGGTACATCACCCTCCATCGATCCAACTTCTCGTTTACAATAGCTCCGGATCCGAGTAGATGCAGGCGCAGCACTTCACTCAGAGTCAGTGCATCCAGCGGGAGTTCGTTAACCTGATACAAAAAGACGATGGATTAGATGATGTACACACAAATATTTGAAAATTGTACCTTGAAGGAGAAGTGCCTCTTGGCGTAGAAGTGACTTTTGGCGGCTTGCGCCATACTCCAGAAGGGCTCGTGTGTTTGCGCCGCCCTGTCTAGGTAGGTCGCCGCACACTCCTCCTCTTCCTCCTTCTGCAGATCGAAAACTGTGCCGAGGAGCACGAGAAGAATGTCCGACAGTGGGCCCGCTATCTCGCGGGCACTTAGTGCTCGGGTCATTTCGTAAAAGGTGAGATTCTGGCGGAACACTTCGATGCCGGACAGTAGGCCTGCGTAAGTGTGCATAAACTCGCGCATCATGAAGGCATCGCCTAGAAGACGCTCGGGCAGGATGGTGACTATTTGCGTGTAGCGGGGCAGCACTTTCTGATCGGTTCGCTCCAGATCGTCGGTCTTCTGCAGCAGCAAATTGCATTCGTTCTCCACGCGCTCCATCAGCTGGGCCTTTTTTTCCGCCTTTTGCCGCTCACTTTCAATCAGTTTCGCCTCCTTTTCCAGCCTCACACGCTCCATTTCCTCCGCCAGCGATTTGGCATCGGACTTGGCCTTTGCCTTGGACTTTGCAGCCGTCGCCTCATCAGCCACAATGTATTTGTTCAGAGTGGATTGCTTCTTGGCATCCTTGGCATCGGGTTTCTTGATCTTGGCGGGCGAGTAGCGCGGCATTTTGCCAATGAAAATGGTGGAGAAGCTCACGCCGGGGTCTGTCACGTACTGTTTGTAGGCCTCTGGTTTGGGTCGCAGCAACCCGTCCACACGGGACACATTGCTCTTGATGAACATGCTTAGGTTTTCCAGATTGAACTCCAAACGCGAGCGGCGCAGTTGCTTGAAGGGCAGCTCAATTACTGCAGCGGGATCCCCGTTGCCCGAGCTTAGTCTGTAGATCAGGCTGTCGGTGTCCTCGAAGATGCCATTGCCCGGCTCCGGCGTATCCTTGTCCAACTTGATGCCCACCACTGTGTAGGTGGTATTCTTTTTGGCCTGCACCGTCACTTCCTCGCCGATGAAGTAGCGCTTGCGCAGGAATTTGGCCACCATTATGTTCAGGGTGTTGACCGCCGACTGGCGGGCGTGCTCCACCACCAGGAGCACGGGTGCCCGGAGGCTGTGTTTGAACTGCTCCATCTTTTTGCGCGCCGCCCGTTCGCTTTTCACCGCCTCCTCGAATGTGAGGTTCTCCTTGCCGGTGGCCTCGCACTGCCACACCGTCGAGTTGATCACCATCACGTGTCGAAAGTAGTTTCTGGAGTTAAGAAATCAGTTAAGCGCGTTAAGGATGTTGTTTGTTTAAAAAAAAAACAATTGGCGTGACGATTGCACCTTCAACTCCAAAAACTTCTGATATCACATTTTATGACGACTATTTTTTTTATTTTGCCAAACTAAATACTTTATTTCCATTTTATTTGTTTTGTAATCGGCACGCTGCTTTGAAATGGTCAAGTCACGAGTCCGATTTTGTTTTTTTGTTTTTTAAATCTATACTGGCGTTTTCAAAAAAATCGCTAAAATGTGAACTCAAAAAACAAATTTTTGGCCATAGTTCTGTTATTATTTTACTAAAAGAAAAGTAAACATCCCTTAAAAACTCCTTTTTAACAATACATAGCACGTAATTGTAGCTTTAGGCGTTTGGAAGTTGTGAGATCTAGCTTTTTTATGCATTTTCCCGCAAAACTAGTGGGCTTTTCAAAAAGTGGTGGAAGAAAAGTTTTTCAGCTCGAGCTGCTTAATACAGTAAAATTGGTTTCAGGACCCTAAAACGTCGCTTTGATACGCACTTATCCTTTTCCGTTGGAGCAAGGAAAGAAAAATCACAATATAAGTTTGGAATTGTTTAACGAGCCCGATAGCCCAATGATAAAATCAGAACACTTTTACAACTCCATTAAAAGAAAATAAACAAAGATAATAACAAAAAAAAAAACAAATTTATATGTGGTTAAAAAAACAAAGAAGGCAATGCAATTTCAAATTCTGAAAGGCGCGCTTTGTGCAACGCCAGGTGGCAACGCCGCGGCGAGCAGCTGTGCCGCGGCAGCTGTAAATTCTTCCCGCCACCGAACAGCGTTTTTTTTTTTGTGCCCCAGGCCCACGAGACTTGCACACTCATACATACACTCGGCAGTGATGTACGGATGTACGTTGCCATACATCACGGGCAAATGCTTTTGCAGCGTCGCTTGTGTTGTATACTTTGGCGTCCTTCGCGAAAGTGGAGGCAATGGTATATATGGAATGGTTGACTTACTCATAGTCGCGGAAAATGCGTTTGGTGATGTAGCAGCAGAAAACCTGGTCGTTGTCGTGGAATGTTTCGTTTTTGCCCTCCTTTTGATTCAGGTCGAAGCCATCCCGCTTGCAAATCGGCATTTTGTTGTTTTCTGTTTTTTTTTCACTCTCAACCTTTCAATGACAATCCTTGGGAACACACGCCTGGCACTACAACACTATAAAATCGCGGCGGAGCTGATAAATTTCACAACGCCAAGGCGCCAAATTTTCACGGCTTCTTTCGGCTCTTCAGACCTATTTCATTGGGATGGCTTTTTCAACGTAACGCGCGTTGCGATCCGGCGCAATTTTACTCGCTTTCCGGAAACGACACTATTCCGGCACTTTCAAGTATCTTTGTGGCTGTCTTCAGCGGCAGTAGCTCTTTAAATCAACCAATTTTCCAGAACACGAATATTTTCACGCGCCTTTGCCAGTAATTTTTACAAATAATGTTACCGTATTTCGCGAACGCATAAATAACAAGAGACGCGAACGAAGGAATACCGATAGACCGATACCTCAAGAAGCGATAAATTAAGAAACGGAATTTTAAAAATTATGCATAAATAAAAATTCATTAAAAAAATATAAATTGACTTAAAAAAAAATATACTGATTGTTGCTGTTACCACAAGCTTAAAACATATATTGAATTTAAAATATTATGATTTTTCCTGTTCAAAAACCACAGCATGGTAATTTAATAATTATAAATTCAATACGAAGTTTTAGTTTAAAATTGTAAATATTTTTTCCTAGCAGGATATCTTTAAGTCGACTAACTCATGTAAATGAGCACACGAGATCCATTTATACTCGTGTTGCCAACTTTTGACCAGGAAAATCAAATAGTTTTTCACTGGATAAAAAAAAAAAAAAGCAAAATAAAAAATTTTAAAAAACCTGGAAAGTTGTTAAAAAATTACCAAAAAATGATATAAAATCGATAGTCGCCGCAAAACATCGATATTTCCATAAATTCTACAAAAAAAAGGGATCGATTGAGTGTGCTATCAGCTGATAAGAATCGATCACCCTATTGCTCCGAGTAAAATATTTATCAAATAGATTTATTGCATTTAAATATAGTTATAATGTACGCAAGACTTATCTGCAGCGCGGGCGCGAGTGCCAGGTGAGAATAGAGATCGCCGTTGCCTGCTAAATCCCTTGGGTCAACAGGTTTCTTTAACTTTACGCCACGGACGATTACATAAACCGTGTCAATTTGTTTTTGTTTTTCTGCAGGTGCTTTGCCACAGCAGCCATTCCAAAAGTGCGTCCCATCAGCAAGATCCTGATTTCGAACCGAGGGGAGATCGCCTGCCGCGTTATTAGGACGGCCCGCAAACTGGGCGTCCGAACCGTGGCAGTCTTTTCCGATCCTGACGAGAAGAGCCTGCACACGCAGCTGGCGGACGAGGCGTACCGCGTGGGCGAGGCCGCCTCCTCCGCCTCGTATCTGCGCGGCGAACACATCCTGGACATAGCCAAGCGTTCGGGCGCTCAAGCTATCCACCCGGGATACGGCTTCCTGTCCGAATCCGTGGAGTTTGCCGAGCTGTGCCAGCGTGAGGGCATCATCTTCATGGGCCCACCCAGCTCCGCCATCCGGGACATGGGTATCAAGAGCACCAGCAAAGCCATAATGGCTGCTGCCGGAGTGCCCATCATCAATGGCTACCACGGCGAGGATCAGTCGGATGAGTGTCTGCAGCGAGAGGCCCAGCTCATCGGCTTTCCCCTGATGATCAAGGCTGTCAGAGGCGGCGGCGGCAAGGGCATGAGGATCGCAGAAAAAGCGGAGGACTTTCTCACCGCCCTCAACTCGGCGCGCAATGAGTCGCAGAAGTCGTTCGGCGACAGCTCCGTTCTGCTGGAACGCTATGTCCGCTCGCCCCGCCACGTGGAAGTCCAGGTCTTTGCGGATCAGTATGGCGAAGCCGTCTACCTGTGGGAGCGGGACTGCTCTGTGCAGCGCCGCCACCAGAAGATTATCGAAGAGGCGCCAGCTGTAAGGCTTCAACTCCCTTATCAATTAAGTTCAAAAACTTACATATAATTTAATTCCGCAGCCTGGTTTATCGGAAGAACTGCGTCGGGAGCTGGGCGAGGCCGCTGTACGTGCTGCCAAAGCTGTGGGCTACGTTGGAGCAGGCACCGTGGAGTTCATCCTGGACAAGGAGGACCTCTCCTTCCACTTTATGGAGATGAACACCCGCCTGCAGGTCGAGCATCCCATCTCGGAGATGATTACAGGCACAGATCTGGTTGAGTGGCAGATTCGCATTGCCGCCGGAGAGCCTCTGCCGCTGAAGCAGTCGCAGATCACTCGGCGCGGTCATGCCTTCGAAGCGCGCATCTATGCGGAGAATCCTCGTGGTGGTTTCCTGCCCGGAGCAGGACCACTGCGCTATCTGTCTACTCCCCGGACAAGTGCCGATGTGCGCGTAGAGACGGGAGTTCGCGAGGGGGACGAGGTGTCTGTCCACTATGACCCCATGATTGCCAAGCTGGTCGTTTGGGGAGAGAATCGCGCTCAGGCACTCAACTCTTTGGTTGCCCGCCTAGGCGAGTATCATGTGAGTACTGTTACTCGAGTAGTAGACGGTTTTTTCAATAAAAACCCCATTTCAGATCTCAGGTCTGGACACGAACATCAACTTCCTCATCGATCTGGCCTCGCACCCGGAATTCCAGGCGGCCAACGTACACACGGGATTCATCGATGAGCATTTCGACACTCTCTTCCCGCCAATTGCCATCAGTCCGCAGCAAGTAAGCCAAGCTGCTCTGGCACTGGTATTCACGGAGTTGCAGGCAGCCTGTAGCAACGGGAACGGAGGCCAAGATCCCTTCCTTGCCACGCCCAATGCCCGCCTCAATTACTCCTTGATCCGCACCTTGACTTTGAAAGCCAATGAGAAAGGTAAAAGGATGTTTTCGAATTTAAAAGCTGGCTTATTTAACACTATCTTACAGTTTACTCCGTGGCTGTCAAGTTTGATGGCGAGGATGTGCAAATACAAGTGGACAATGGCGATTGGCAAACGATCAAGGCCGAGAGAGTGCAAGATGGCGGTCGTTTGAAAATCCGTGCCAATATCGATACCAATATCACCACTTACAATGCCAATGTTGATGGACCCAGTGTCAGTTTGTTTTTGGAGGTAAGTCTTGCATTACCCTAACTGAGAAGGTAATCGAGTTTGGATTGTTTCCAATTTGCAGAGTGGCAAGCTTGACTTTGAGCTGGCAGAGCCAAAGTTCTTGAGTGCTCAGGGTGATCAGCTAGGAGCAGGAGGCGGCCGCGTGGAGGCACCCATGCCGGGAGTGCTGGAAAAGGTCCTGGTGAAGCCAGGAGACCAGGTCAAGAAGGGTGACAGTTTGGCCGTGCTTATTGGTAAGAAACAATACTTTAAATATGATGTGTTTTACAAGACTCTATTGTTTTACAGCCATGAAAATAGAGCACATCCTTAAGGCTCCCAAAGACGCCACTATCAAGTCTATTGGAGGAGCCGAGGGCAAAAACGTGGCCAAGGGAGAGTCCGTGATCACATTTGTCGACGAGGAGGTTGACAAATAAAATAGAACTGGGAATCGACTACGTACCAGATTTTGTTGCATTTACCTACACGTTTAATTGTCTAAGAATCTTATTATCAGGGAAAACAATGTGCATTTATAAGAGTTAACTGTAATTCTGTCCGTTTAATGGAATTTTATTGTGTTTTTTTCCCACGGCATTAAAATGGTCCAACTGTTGATCAAATGTGTTTTAGCAGACGAGTCAGAGAGCCAACGGTGATAGTTTTAAAAAAATGTTTTATTCGTTTTAATTTTTGTTGAATGTTAATGGATGTATAAGATTTATTCAGTTTGTCAAACACACATTTCCTAAATGTGATTTATATCTTTATAAATACATAATTTAAAATTGAGTTCCGTACATAATTTTGCGACCTATGAGTTTGACTTTGAGTTTGTTGCTGTCGGTGAACGAAAACGGAAACTGAGAGAAGGCAGCTGCTTGCTTACATTTCGCTTTTATTTCGCAACTTAAAACATAATAATTTAATAAATGTTTAACAAATTTCACTTATTACAAAACACTAATCATTTAAAATATATATACTTAGTATAACCATAATCAAGTATTTTTATGCTCGTGTTGCTGTAGTCCATTCTGCTCTTGAGTTTATACTGTTTGTTTTGTTTTGATTTAGCATTCCATTTACTTGGTATACGTGATTGAATTATGATAATGGAAACAGTTCAAGAGGCGAGTACTGAGTACTGAAGATGCAATTTGGTTTCTTGCCCTAATTCTTATATTCAGCCGATTCGTTTCGATTAGTTTTCACTAGTATCATATCTATATTTTTCCTTCCTTTATGTTTTTTTCTTTTTATTCGGTTAGTATTAGTTAATGTTGCTCGGCTTCAATACGTAATACATCATTTATATACTATATAAATACAATTATATGGTACTGTAAACGTGCAACTTAACGCTTCTTAGTAATTATGAGTGTGTTTCTTTGTTTGCGTTCGTTTTTTGCGTTGCATTGTGTATGCGGGGGTGTTTGTTTGTTTAAGGTGTCTGTAATCTTTTATCTTGTATCTGTGTATCTGTTAAGGTAATTATAAAGATCCATAACTACTAAACACCTTTGCTGGTACATACCATCCATCCTTCTCTATCCTTGAATCGCAGCCTTCTCTATCCTCCAAGCATGTACTTCATTTGTTAATATCTACGGATTCTGCTGCTCTAGTTCGCATATTAACCCGTTAAGTCTCGATTTTGACGGCGGGAACCCCACTAATAAAACACCTGCTGTCCACACCGTTCTCATTGTCAGGATGCTTTTGGTTCACTTAACGCTATGGATGCTCATCATAAGTTGTTGCGATTACATTTTATTGCAAAGAACTTTTCGTTTGTAGTTTCCTCTCGGTTTTAAATTAAGTTTTTCCCTATCTTCGTCGATAGATCTCCCGATCCCGATCCTGATCCTGATCCCGTTGTTGTGACTCCTGTTGTGGCAGGTGTTAAAGTTGCTACCGTTGATGTGGTTTTCGCAGGCGACGACGTTGTGACCTCCGTGGTGGCCGCCGTTGTCTCGGCCGTCGCGTCCTCCTCGTCCTTACTTTCCCCTAGCTTTCTTCTCACCAACCTGCGACACTTCTGCGAATGACGAACGGAAAGAGTTCGATTAGTCTAAGTCGTCTAAAGATTTCCCAGCGTCTGCGTGCCAGCTAAGCAGTAATTGCGATCATTATTTGAGTGTTATTAAAAAGGTAGTATACGAAGCTCATCAGTGATGCCGGATTTAACTTCAATTTGTTTGTAATCATAAATGTACTACTTTTCGCATTTAATAATAACAAGTATAAGAAATATTATCATTTTTTACTATACTAAATGGGGCGAGAAAGGAATAAAATATTGAAATTTTTTTAAAAGGATTGATAATACATTTTTTTTAATTTTTTAAAAGCCAATCGTTTGTTTTTTAAAACAAAATTGATATAAAACTATTAACTACAGTATATTGAAAAGTGAATTTGATGATTTTTATTTCGCTTGATAAACTAAACATTTAAAAAAAATGTATTGTGCCTTAAAGGCATTTTTTTTTAACCATTCCTGTTCTTTTACTACTATTTTTTTTACCGCAGCTGTTATAATCACAAAACAAAGTGTACATAACTGATCTATATAGGATAAAAGTCAAAGGTAATGATGCAAAGCTATTTGCCATTATCCCATTATACTAATAATCCTGAATACAGATCGGATTCACCTATTATATTAATATTGATTGACAATCTTTAAAATTAGTTAGGCGAACTTTCGACTGGCATAACTGATTTTAATGGGATCCCATTGAGCGAGTGTAAGTGGATTGGGTGTTTTGTGAGGTGGGAGTGAGTGTGTGTGAGTGAGTAGAGGAAGCTTGCAGTGGAAAGTAAAAGAAAAGCCAAATGGTAGACAGATCCGGGGTAAGCAAGTGCATCTCGTTTGTGCAAGGGCAGTAAGAACAGAAGTCGTGAACACAACAAACGTAAAATAGGCCATACGCTCGGGGCTCAAATGAAAAACATATCTAACTAACTTGGCAGCAAATCAAATCAAGCGGCTTGAGGAACTCTTGCTAATATCACCACGTAGTTGCTGCTGCTGCTGTTGTTGTTGATGCTGCTGCTGCTTCAGCTTGAATTGCTGCTCCGGCGGTAACTGATGATGGTGGAACAGAACCGGCGGCAGCTTCCCTCCCTTGGAACGACTTCGCAAGCCCTGCACATGTGGGTACAATTCGCGGGACAGCAGGTGAATAAACAACGAAACGCAGCAAAGGAAACCGTGTGGTTGTAGGACAATAAAAAATATTTTGAGAACAGATAGAAGAAAACATTAAGGAGGGCAATCTTCGGTGGCCGAAGCGGGTTGAAAACTTAATCGGACAACTTTTAGTTTAAATATTTTTAAAAGTAGTACTATTCATTAAAAATATACGGTGTAAACATACAGACGGAATAAACTAAATTCTTTTGAGATTCTTTAGTGATGTGACAACAAATATACTCAGCACTAGTTTCAAAGTTCTAGTTGCTAAGTATTTATGAAAACAGATAGATACAGATTGGAGTTGGAGTGTAAAATGTGTTTATTGTGTGTACTGTTTTGTTGGTGGCCGCTTGGCAGGCGACTCGAAGGATCCTTCGGGTGCAGAACACACTTAACAGAGGGGCAAATGTCCTAGACCTCGTCTGTCCTAGTTACCTTTTTGGCCGTAATCTCCATTTGATCCAGGCTACTCGACAGCCCGTTAACAGTCGTCTCCCCGGTGGTATCCTGGGCACTGCTCTCCGTCTCGCTGTTGGTCCCACTGCCCGCCGTTGTCGTCGTCGTTGTGGCGGGTGTGGGTGCGGTTGTTCCGCTGGTTGAGCCAACGCCAGTCGAAGTGTACGCCCCGAAGAGCTGACGCGAGAGCCGGGGAATGGCGTTGCTATCCACACGTGCCGGCCATGCGCTGGTAGAAGGGCTGCTCGTGGTGGGTGTCTCGTTTTCCGTCGGCTGCTCCGTGCCACCGGTGGTGCTCTCCTGCGCTGCCCCCGGCTGTGCCGCCTGCTCCGTCTTGTTCTCGTCCAGATTCGATTCTAAATCAGACTCGTTGTTCTCGTCCTGTTCCTGGCAAGCAAGCACGTACATTATAAGAATGTTTTCCCTATTTATGTTGTTAGGTGTTAAGTACCGTCTTCTCGCTGACCTCATCCGGGCAGAGCTCGTAAGCCATGGTCCACGTGTTTTTGGCCGACTGCGACCGCTCCAGCATGTAGCCGTTGGTGTTGTCATTGCTCTGCGCCGGCGGCGACCACGAGTACGAGTTGTACTGGCAACCGATGCCCCGTTGCCGCTCCAGCTCGTCCTGCAGCCACTCGACGGCAACGCTCCAGTGTCGGCTGATGGTTGGGTTTGAGTTGAGCATCTGCAGCGCGATGGGCGACTTGTGGAACAGTTGCGTGAGGCACTTAATAATCTGGTACGCCCGCTTCTGGTAGTGCGTCTTCGCCCGCTGTATCGTCTCCAGCAGGCCCTCGCGTTCCTCGGCCACTCCGTTGAGGGCGTTGTGGATGCGGTGGTGCTGCCACGAGTCGTCGATCAGTAGGATGTTTAGCAGCAGATCCGTGTGGTGCCGCATGTCGTGGCAGTAGGCAAATCCACACTGCCAAAGCAACTCGGTCAGCACGGCGCGCGAAAAGTGCGGATTCTCCCAACTGCAGTACTGCAGAAGCTTGAGCCCTTCGTCGCCCACGTTTGTGTCCTCGATCACCTTCTTGATGTAGCTATGAACGATAATACAAATGGGCATTCGATGGCATTCACAATTCACATGCTCAGACAACTTACCCCGTGCGATTAAATAGCAAGTCCATGCACTCAGTGGACAGCGGCGTCAGCTCCTCGTGCGCCACCGTTGCGTCCTTAAACGGATTTGGCAGTGGACGACCGTTCTGGTTGGAGCTCTGACACTTTTCGGTCACATCGCTGCAGCGCACCAGGTGGGACACCACCTGGTGAAGCTTGCTAAACTCCGGATACTGGTACTTTATGGCCGGACCGGGGCCATCGTCCAATGCCACTTGGATGAACTGCATCGGCACATTGAGCTGCAAGCGAGACAATATGTTTAGTTTGGTAAGCAACATAAATGCCAATGCTTCTCACCCGTAGCAGTTGCTGCTTTTCGCGCGTGCCCAGTCCTACGTACATACTGAAGAGGCTGAAGTAGTGGGGAAGATGTTTGCCGTAATCGGCTGCCTCAGATTTCAGCAGGCGCAGCACGCTGATGAGCACCTGCTCGCAGAGATTGGCGCCTTCGTGGCCGGCCAACGGTTCATCGTTGATGGCAAAGTGGCAGAAGAACACCACCAGCTTAACGAAGACAGTACGCACCTCTGGCGATGGAGCCATCAGGATGTACTCGCCTAGGCGCGAAGGCGGCGAAAGGAGCGCATGGTTGGCAAACCACTTTCTCACTAGTGCCGAAGAACGTATGTGATGCGAGAGTGCGTCGTACCTGTCAATCAAGAGTCATGTAATTCATATGCTTCTTAGAACTGTTTCATTTAGTCACCAATCGATAACGGGGCCACGCAGGGACTTCTTCGTGCGAAAACCAGTGTGGAAAAGGAACTGCGATGCCAATTGGACGCCCAGCAGCGAAAGCTCTTCGGCGGCAGGAGTCTGTTGGGAAAACAACTTTATTAGTGGAGTAAGTAACATCACTTAAGCAGAAACTCACGATCTTATCGCTCCGCGCAGAGGGAATATTGCAGCTGACCAGCTTCTTGATGAAGTTGAAAAACTCCACGGAAAAAATGCTTCGGGAGTGCAGAAACCGAATGTTCTGGTGCCTGTAACAGTGGACATTTCAAAATAGTAAG